TCTTCCAAACACATTTGATATTAAGTTTGATTTATATATCTTATTATTAAACATTTTGTTGTGTAGTATCACTGAGTATTTTTATGAGTTGTGCCATATTATGACAAGCCCGTAGGGTGAGTCAAAATACAAACAACTAATAAGAATACTCAGTGATACTACACAACAAAACCTTTCAAAGAGATTAATTTTATTATCCAACATGCCAAATTGTTATTTCAATCTAGGCAAATTTCTCAGATATTTATTTACAGCTCTCTGGAGTACAAATGTTGCATGATATTTGTACTCAATTCACACATTATTTGTACTCTACATTGTGCAGTGTGATGATAAAAATTACTATTCCAATTGCATGGGGGGCACTAAAATTATGAAGTAAATCAACTGGTTAATTTCAATCAATGATTGCTTTCATAATTAGTCTTGAATGGAGTTTTTAATTTTAATTCTCATAAGGCCAGAGACGATGAGATTTCATTTGATGATATCAAGAAAGTTGGTGAAGGTCAGAGTGCAATTAATTTATTTCATAGTATACTGACACAGCTCCTTGCCTGACAGTTTTCCAATTGGCCAGTATCTGATTACTCCAGACTTATTAAATTAGAAACAATTGGTACAACCTCTTTGTAGGAGGCATGCAGCTGCCTAATGGTTATACTGTACCCCTCTCCCATGTTGCAACCACTTAAGTTTTGCAACTTGCAAAAAATGGTTCCAATGTTATTCCTATGAAGCCAACTTCAGTATATGATATTTCTATTAACTGGTATCACAATGTCTTTTTAAAATAATTATTATAATTTTACAACATTTTAAACTGCAGCATTTTAAACTTATCAACTCTTTTTTTTTTCGCAGTGTTGAGAAACTTAAATGTAGGTTGGAATAGTCCTTTTCCAGTCAGGATTGAAGAACCTAAAAGTAGGTTAGTCATAGTAAAGATCATTTTTTTTTTTTTGTAATTTTCTTTATTTTTTTGGCATTTTACAAAACATTACTCTACTTACAATACACTACAGGACTCAGTTACAGTACGTTGCTTACAATAGTTTACTGAGAACACACCACAAACAAAGTATAGTTTACAATAAACTTGATTACAGCAGATGACTTACTATCAATTACATCCACTATCTACACGATACTCTACATTTAAGTTACGTAAAGACATATTACACTCCTTTCAATATGTTACATAAATTACTTACAGTACCTTAATAATAGTATATAGCGAAATTGTGTGCTTTACAATAAAATTGACTTCGTATGCTACTTTACATTGTCTGGACACCCATCCCACAAAACGATATGTGGCAAAAGCTTATTCCATTTCTGAAAATGTTTAGCTAATTTATTTATAGTAAAGATCATTGGGTAAGTTTTAGTTTGTTGCTTGTGACTGGGCTACCACCAGAGATAAATTCATTTGAGACATGTCAAGCTATGTGATTATAGTTGGCTTCCTATTTCTGATACCTATAACACCATGTGGAAAAAATTAAACTTTTTTCTCTGCTAGAATGAGGAGCACAGCAGATTGGTCATGCATGCGACCTGATAAGCCCTGTCTTAATCACAGGAGGGTTGAAGCCTCCCATGTCCTTAGCCAGGGTCATTTTGTCAAGTTTTGATGTTAACTGTCTCTCAAACACTGTACTGCAGCCATCTGAAGGATAGAAAGCTCACAATTTTTTTTTCTGTCCAGTGTAGCCTCAAACATTTAGATAAGCTGACTGAAATTGTAAATCCTAGCTCACACATTGAACTGTTCCATTACATACCAATGATTATATGATGTTTACAAATTCAGTTTTGTTGCTGATGCTGATGATGTAACAGAATATGGAGACGAGAATGGGAGTGAGCATACATCTTCAGTTGGTAATTTTTTTTTGGTTATTTTTTTTAATGCTTGAACAAAATCTAAGATCCTAGGCATCCAAGGTATTACTGACATCACTATTAATTAATATCTATAGTTTTCTTTTCTATCAGTAATTGTACAGTATAGCATGCATCACAAAATTACTTACACTGCTCATGATGATCCCATTTTCAGAAAGGGCATTAGTCACCCAAATTAATTCAGAGGTGGGCCTGATTATTAGTCTGACTTGTGCCATGAAAACTAGCCTCGCTTTTAATTGAGTGAAAATTCCATGATGTTACAATTGTTTTTAAACATGTTTTTCACTAACAGATTAAAAAGGCTGGTGTTAGGCCTTTACACATTCTGCTCGAAAGAAAGGCTATTCTGCTCAAAATAATTGCCTCCAAAAAAGGCTATTCTGCTAGAGATTATGCTCCAAAAGTACTATTATGCTCGAATTATGCTTCTGTAAAAATCGATATTCCTGGGTTCAAAATACTCAAACATGATAAATAAGACATTATATCGCCTTTCCAGAACCCAACATATGCGCATTTATTATTTAATCCTTAAAACTAACATGGGTAATAACTTCTAAAAAGAGTCTGGGGCAACCGTGAACCATATGTTATCAGAAATGTCTTTGTCCATCCACTGTCACAGACCGCCATCTTGTTTTGCTCAGATGCTTGTGCCCAGCTCCCTCTCAGACTCATTCCCAGGCCCCAGAATATGCAAAATGGCCAAAAATTGCCTATTCTGCTCGGATTATGCCCCAATCTAATATTCTGCTCATGAGGCCCTATTATGCTGGAAATTCTGCCGGCAGAATGTGTAAAGGCCTAGCTAGTGTACAGAAATTCAATAAAATAGCAATTTGGCTCACCATTATTTTATGAAGGAGGGCTAGAAACTTACAGAAGAGAACTATTAGTATAAACAGTACTCAGTTGAGCTTACATGTGTTATACGTTTGATTTTGTTTTTGTTTTTTTTTTACATTTTTATTTTCTTATAGAGCGATATTTATCTTTTTTCTTGTTTTAAAGCTGATGGAGGATCATTGTTACCTCGGATCCCATATGAAGAGGGAGTTCATCGTCTTGTGGTGCGAATCAACCAGATTGGACTAAAGGATGCCCATGTGTACATTAATCCATTTTTTACTGTTTCTGTGAAAGGTAACCATTAATTACTATATCAACGTGCAACTTATGCCTTTAACCCCTAACAAGTGACTAGTATCAAATTTATCCTTACAGTAACCCCTCGGCTGAATCACGCATAGGACCATGAGAATAAAGAAAATGATCACCAACTAATAAACAGCTCTTGATTGTTACACAAATTCTCCTTGTCGACACCTAAGGGAATTTATAGAGAACAGTATGGAGAATATGCATACTGATATCAGGGGTGTGAGGGGCTAAGAAATGAATGCAGTAGCTATTTATTGAACTATTGAGTGTTTTCCTTTCATAGATGCCAACAGTGTGAATGTCACCCCAGCTCAGGACACACCCATATCAAACAGAAGTAATGGGAAGTTTATCAACTTCGATGTTGATGTAGAAATTCAAAAACCTATAGAGAAACTTCCAAGAGGTTAGAGTTATTGTACTCTTTTAGTTTTAGAATTCCACATATTACATCTGTTGGGCTCTTTGTCAAAAAAAGACATTGTCAAAATGAGGACTTAAAAAAAAAATAAACCAGGGAATTCCACCAATCACAGCCAGTTAAGACTGCAGAAAATTGTACTAAAAAGTTAGAAGAAGGTTTGATTCATTTGTTCACAAATTTATTTCAAGTAATTAAACTGAAGTCCTCAGTACAGTGCCATTGATTTGAAAATTACAAGCTTTGTTTCTACCAAATTAATCCTCTTCGTGTTGTGAAACACATAAGGCCTTGCCCAAAGAGTGCCACTGGCTTCTTTCGGGTGCTTGTCGGTCCAGGTGACCCCATGTCCAGCTGTTTTCCTTCTTCCAAACATTGTTTTGAATGGTTTAGAATTTAAGCAAAATGGAACACACAAAAAATCCCTGAGGCAGCATTCCACAAGGCAATACAGGACAATTTGAAAGGGGAATCCTGCAGTCTATCAGAATTCACAATGAGGAGCTTTTTCCACACACTCCCTTCAGAATGTTTCACATGTTTCTCACGTTTGACATGTTTTATTTATTCTGACAAATCTAGCCTTATCTGTTTTACCCTTAGCAGTTAAAACCTAATGTAAAACTTTGCCTCACCTTGTCAATAAATCAGGTGACAAAACTTGACAAACTTCCTAGGAAAAAGAAGTTACCTTCTTAAAAAACCCAAATTCTCCCAACATATTTACAAGTTAATGTATAGTGACCAGAAGGGAGAATTGATTTTTAGGTATTGGGTAGTGTAAACGTGTTACTGAGACTTCTCATTGTTGTCACCCCTTAGGTACAGCGATATTCTTTGAGTTCAAACATTACAAACCCAAAAAGGATGTAGTGAGCACAAGGTGTTTTGCATTCATGGAACAGGACGAATTTAAACCTGGTCCTGCCTGTATTGAACTGTAAGTAAAGACTGCAGCAATTTAAGCTATTTGAATGACTAAAGAGTCTGTACAGACAAAAGCGGCGGCCGTGAGATCATATTGAAAGGGCCTGGATCTGAGCCATAGTCCCGAATAATGTCTTGCGTTCTTGAGCAAGACGCTTACAGTGATTTCAATACCTATTTTCATAAGCGCTGCCGATGGTGTGCACCTGTACCTGGAAAAGGGACCGTAGAACGAAACTCAAACACGAGGGCGGTAATAGGTCATATAGCACTGTGTTTACCCGTCATCGACTGTGCAGTTGCTTTTTTCTGTCTGTCTGACTGTCAGGCACTCCATCTGACTGACTTTATGACCATCTGATGGTCATTGACTTTCTCTCTATCTGAATGCCTGTCTGTCTGACCAACTGATTTTTGACTTCGTCCGGCTGTTTATTTGACTGACTCACGGCTTTCTGTCTGTCTGAATATTTTTCTGTCCGTCAGCAGTTGTTTGTATTCCGATACCACTTTCTCAAGGTCTTAATCAACAATTTCTTTTTTCAGCTATCAGAAACCGACGGATTTTCATCGCAAGAGGTTAAATCTATTTACACAAAAACCGCTTTATCTTCACTTGACGCTCAAAGTCCTTGATGACTGATGTCGTACAGAAGATACTTTGCGAGCAGGCCATTATTTTAAGTCCTTCGCCATGAGCATTTCTTTTTCCGCGAAAGAGTTTAAGGCCTAGGGTGAACTTGATCAGCGCTAGGCGAGAGGTCTGCAAAGGTTGTAAGGGGCCTGGCACTAATAAAAGTTAGCACCAGATCCCTTGCCGACCTCTTGCTTTGCTCATGGCCGCTTTGCTCATGGCCGCTTTACTCACCTTGCCAACCTGCTGGTTGTCTATACAAAAATGGTGTTTTTCATTTGCTAAAAACACGGGCATGGGGTCAAAGGATAAAAGACCTCTTTATTCAATTCATACGCGTATATTATTAACATTTTAACTGCAATCTGGTGTAAAACCAAAACTACCCAAGATATCAATGAATATGAATATATGAAAATCATATATGTGTACTGCGGTTCCATGAAATGTATGAAGCGATCCACGCAGTACTGAACCCTACTTTTGTAGTGGTGGCCTTATTTCCACAATTATATAAGTAAGGTTCATTACTGCGAGGATCGCTTTTATACTTTCCAAAATATTTTACAAGGGGGAGGAAACAAGCTATTTTTTATCACAAAGAGTTAGTTGTTTGTTTTTTTTTTTTCACTGACAATGCATTTTTACAAATAATTATTTTTAAAGTGGCTATGAGCTTCTGAAGCCAAAAATGAAGCTATATAGCCCAAATTCTTCATTTGACTGTAACAAGTGACATTCAAAAGTCGAAAGAACGTGTTTAATTTTAAAACCGACTTACGGCGTTACACTGTCTTTTAACGAAAGCAGCATTTTGTCTACTTTGCACCCCATTAGATTTGTGCGATATTGAAAAAAAGGAATGTTTTAAATTAGTTGTTCCTTGTCTTCTTAAATTTTAGGGGCCGTATATCTGGTATCGAATGTTAGAGATAAACGAGGAAAAAAGCTTTTTTTTTTAGTTATATAAGTATCTTAAAGATAACTTAGATTTAGACATTATTTAGTAGGTCGATTTATTATGAAAATATTAGGTGAGATCTATAACTGTAGATGGCGATATATGTAGTTAGGAAAATTTATTTGTTAGAAGAGCTCGTTTCATCGTAGATCATAATTAGGGTTTTTATTATTATCGGAAGAGAATTTTGATTGAGTTTCGAATAGGAAGCCGGAATTGCAGAGCTTTTTCTTTACTTCGTTCTGTGATTGGTCCAGAAAGCTCGCGCCACTTTCTCAGCCAATCAGATGCAAAACTAAAACCGACTTGGCCGCCCGCGTTTTTCCGGGTTTTCCTGCGCTGAAAGCAAACTGGTTGTTTTTACTTTGAGTTCTTATCGGTTCTCAAAGATCTTTATCTTTCTTCTGATTTTTTTTAATTTTTTTTTTTATTACCTTGATCGGTTTAATGACACTCGATCGAAAATAACTCGACTGAAAAATAAAGGTTTAAAGTGATTATCATTCTTAGTGGTCATCATTCTGTTTGTCAAACTTTTTATTTAGCTTGTGCCTGTAACTAATGTTTCGTCCTTTGATAACACTGGATGCTTGTCAATCCCTGCACGACAAGATCTAAATGACAGAGTCTGTGTTCTGGGGGTGTTAGTAAGGACTTCAGGCGAAATTCTTTTCCATCTGCGAGTCTTAAAGATTGGCCTCTATCTGAAAAAGATTCCACCGTAAAAACTTTCTTCAATTGTATCATTTGATTAGAAAGGTCTTCCAAGGAGCAATGCTATCTCCCTATTCAACCATTAAAAGCCCAAAAAGGTCCAAAGTCAAAAAAGGTGTATTGTTATTCATGGCTAAGCTAAAGACAATGGCTCGCTCGGTCAGAGAGCGGCATTTTTGAACGCAATTTCGACTACAACTTTTCAAACTGAAATGGATAGAGGTTCCCACCGGCCAATTTTCAAACTTAAAACGGATTCTGTGGGAGTAAAGATTAATCTTTTATTTGTCGCGCGTTGATTATTCAAGGGTAATAAGGGTTTTCAGGAAATCGCTCAGGAAAATGAGTCCATACTAAAAATGCCCGAATTTAGTGTATTCTCAAGTTCAAAAGGATAATACTTCGTAAAAATCGTTCATTTTAGGCGCAAATTGTAGATACATCTTTAATCTTCAAAAAGCCGTGCATTGATTTAGAAGCAATCACTTCCGATACTCAGAAAAGTGAGTTTTATGAAGCCTAGTTGGCCCATTTTGGTCCATTCTTCTCTAATTAAGGGCTGCTCTAAGCGAAGTCGCCTTCGAATTTGGTTATGAATAATGCATGGTGTCCACCCATCCTGCCCCATGATGACCCCCATTAGCACAATCTTGTTAGCCCTAGATTACCATTCATGACAAAATCAAGTACCGTAAGTAAGAAGAAAATTTCTTTTCGTTAGTTGTTTACAAAGTGAATATCTAAGTGACAGGTTTCAGGCAATTATANGCTATTTTGTTTTTTATTTTGTTTTTGCTTGGTTAACTGGATTTAGTAATTTCCCATCTCATCAAAGAGGACGTAGTGTCTGGAAAAGCACCTATTTTTCTTTTCGCCAACAAAAAGGTTAATACAAAGATGGAATCTCACCAAAGTTTCAGCTTCTGAAGCGCTTGCTAACCATAGGAAATCATCAAAGAGCAGGAAGTACAAATTTCATGAAATAGACTCCGTATACCTGTTTTCTGATTCGAGCTGTTTGAGACAACACTCTCTTGCAGTTTCTCTAGCTAAGTATACTTCGAACGCAGTCGACCTTCTCAAACTGCTAAGTCTTTCAATGCGTTCTGGCTCGAAGCAATTTGGCTCTTCTGCAGGCATGTTTGTTTCCCGCCAAGATGGCGGCGCTATCGCTCGATTTTCGTGCAAGGATTTCTTATGGTTAATGAGCGCTTTGGAGGCTGAAACTTCGTTGAGTATTTTATCTTTGGATTAACCTTTTTGTTGGTGAAAAGACTGAAAAGAGAACTCTGGACCCTACTTCTTCTATAAAGAGGCTTCGTTTACATTCGTAAGGAACCAATTCATGAGACTTTCCATATTAGAGGCCACTCAATCATTTCTCCATTCGATGACGCAAATTTCTGAGGTTATTTTTCGTGAGTGTAGGCCTGACGAAATCATATACTCTCACTCACAGCAATCTTCAAATGAGTGTCTGAGCTTATCCGTGTTGGATTCATCCTTTTACCTCATTGCGCTCTGCAACTGGCCTAAAAACTAGTGCCATCCTTGCCCGCTACCAAACCCTCATTACTGGCCCTGTACAACGCCCGTTTTCGCTCGCGAGCAGATTTGTGACAAGTCGTTGAGACGTTTGCGGGGGGGAAAGGAAGCATGGCATTAATATTAAGCCCCGACCCCCTTAGCCGGCTCCCTTTTCTTCGTGCCGAAGCGCTGATATTGAGGGTCTATACGCAGGCTGGTGACAATAAATCAACCATGCAATCAGAAGCAGGACTAAACTCAAATTGTGACTTGGTTTCCTCGTCACAAGTCGCCAACCCCGGTGTTTCCCTTCAGTTCTCATGCTAATGTTGACCTTGTTTGGGGAATTACTTTGGTCTTGATCTTATGCCACTTGATCAAAAACGCTCAAAATCGATTGTTTGATTCCAATTGTGAATAGTACGTCTTATTATATTGCTGGCAGAGCCCGCGGGCAATATGAAGCGAGTCCTGTGTTCTGATTGGCTACCCGAGCGGCAAGATGGGCCTACCTTGCCCGCTCGGAATTACCTGCTATGATACCATGCAAGAAAAACATTGCTTGGAGGGAACTTGGAACAAAAATGATAAAGATCGAGAGATTACAAATTTTTATAATCTCTTGTAAAAATATAGA